GTTTTCCGAAAGCCTTAGGGAAATGAAGTGACTGAGAAGATGCCCTGAACACCAGTGGAGAAGACAGAAAGGCTTCTGACCAAGCGTGGAGACCAGGTCACGTTTGAGCCTACTCCATGGTAAGGGAAGCAAAGTGTTACCACTTCTCCTCTGTTACTTTGTTGGTGGGCTGTTGTCTGCCAGCCTTGTTTAGGGTGCCAATTCCTTTTTAGGAAAAGGACAGCACATAGATCTCCCATCTGGTTGCCATGACCATCCAGCACAAGATTTTGCCAACAAAGCCACTCATATTCACCAAAAGATGCACTAGTGCGCAATTTGGGGGTTCTCCTGAACTTACAGTTCCTGCTCAAGGAGCAAGTGGCAACTGTGGCTAGGGGGCCCTTTGCATGGATCCATCTCATGTGCCAACTGTACCCATTCCTGAACCGAAAGGCCTTGCTCATGGTCACTCATGCCCTGGTCACTTCCTGTCTGATTACTTTGCCCCTGTTACATTACTGTTGTGGGAACTGCACTGGCTTCCAGTTTCTTTCTGGGTGCGATTCAAGGTGTTGGTTATCACCTTTACCGCCCTGAATGGTACAGGGCCAGGTTATCTGTGGATCCACCTCTTCCCGAGGGTATCTGTCTTTGCACTTGGTCAGATAGGATTGGTGCACTCCAGGTCCCTTCCCTTAAATGTTGTCATTTAGTGGGACCTAGGCAGTGAACCTTTTCCATAGCTACCCCTGGCCTGTGGAACACCCTCCCCACTGAGATCTGGCTGGCTCCTACCCTCCTACCCTTCCAAAAATCCTTGAAGGTCTAGCTTTTCCCACAGCATTGGGTAATGTAAGGCTGGAGCCCAGAAAGGGTCTTCTGTGGATGTGGGGCAGTTGAGGGCGCTGGAAATTTTCTGTATTTGCTCTTAAGTTTTCATTGTTGGTTGTGAGTTGCCCAGGAGTATGTTGCCTAAGATGGGCAGCTGTATAAGTCTTTTAAATAAATAACCAGATAAATAAATAAAACCTTGACTCTGCATGGGCACAGGCCATTATGACAACTGGGCAACATCAAGTTTTGTGATCTGGGATCATTTCTGGCTTATGGGATGGATAGGGTGCCCTCGTGATTGGCCATTTTTGACCTTGACTGCTGCCCCATCCCTGGCTCCTTAGGTGGTCAGGAGTGGTGACAAATTGGATCTAAGAGGTAATCAATGCCTCACTGCATGAGGAGTTGATGTCATCAGCCTTCAAGAAGGCCAGGGTACACTTCCTCTTCAGGACATCCTCTCTGGGTCTATCCATATTTGGTAAGTATCATCCTGTTCCTTTTGGGGAGAAGGTTATTGAGACTCTGATCAGAGTTCATCTACAGAGCCCCCTAGAAGAAGGGGATTAACTGGACCTTTTCTAGCTGGGATTCAGGCCTGGGCATGGGACTGAGACAGCATTAATTGATGACTTTTATCATGAACTGGATGGAGAGATGCACCCCTTCCGGGCTTCCTTCAGCAGCCTACAGTACCATCAACCATGATATCCTTCTAGACGGTCTGCAGGAGTTGAGAGATAAAGGCACTGAGTTGAAGTAGTTCTGCTCCTTCCTTAATGGACAAGTCCAATCAGTGTTTAAGGAGAGGATGAGGGGTTGGCTGAGTGGTCTCTTGCTTGTGATGCACTGCAAGGCTTGGTCCTCTATCTCCTACTCTTTAACATTTACATGAAACCACTAGGAGAGGTCATCTAAAGGTTCAGGCTTCAGGTCTCATCAAGATGCTGATGACACCCAGTCATACATTGCTAGTGTGAGCTGTACAGATGATGCTGTCACTAGTTGCCTCAGTGTTTTGAGGCTATGAGGATCTAGGTGGGGCAGAACAGGCTGAGGTTGAACCCTGACAAGACGGAGTTACTACCTGTTCACTGTGGATTCTCCATGTCTCCAGTTGTATCTCTTGATGGGGTGGCAGTGCCACATCAGGTTTGGGGGCTGGGAGTCCTCCTGGACTCATGACTATTGCTGGACAGTTGCAGCCTTACTTAGGGGAGGATGATCTTGCAACACTGACTTGTGCCCTCATCACCATTGGGTTGCAGTACTGTAATATGCTGTATGTTGAAGACTACAAAGAAGCCTCAATTAGTCCAGAATGCAGTGACCCAGTTGTCAGTGATTACGTGCCAACGTGAACATATTATACCTATAGTCTAGTCTTGCACTGGCTTCTTATTAGCTTCCGTGTCCAATTTGAAGTGCTGGTTTTGAACTTCAAAGCCCTACATGGCTTGATTCCAGAATATCTCCAGGACCATCTCCTCCACTCATGATCAACTTGCCCAATGTGGAGCTCCCAAGAGTATCTATTAGAAGTCCTAAATTTCAGTGAGATTAGGGAGAAGGAAGTGTGCAAAAGCTTTTTTTTGGCAGCACCAAAGTTATGGAACTCCCTGCCTCCTGACACCTGATCAGCACCTGCCTTGATAGGCTTCAGGAAATTGTAAAAAATAGAATTCTTTAAGAGGGCCTTTGGTTATAGGTGACAGTATTTTATCTGTGGTTTAATTATTGTTTATTATTATATAAAACTATTCAATGTATGTTTTATTGTTGAGACTGTAATCCAGTGTTTCTTAACCTTGGGCGCTTTAAGAAGTGTGGACTTCAACTCCCAGAATTCCCCAGACAGCCATGCTGTCTGGAGAATTCTGGGAGTTGAAGTCCACACTTCTTAAAGTTCCCAAGGTTGAGAAACATTGCTGTAGCCTAAGTCTCTTAATTGTGGCAGAATAAAAAAGGAGCAAACAAATAAATATGTGCGCCACAGCATCCATGCTGGAATACCAAATGGTGTTGCTTACCATGAATGTCATCTTTCCTGTATCTTTGCCAGAGAGCATCTTTCACTTTGCATATTATGGCTTGATCAGTTTTCCTCCAAATATATTACATCTGCTACATAACCTGCAAGCATGAGGTACTTTTGATAAAATGCACTTTCCTGTTCTCTGACCCATTTGGCTTGGGATGTCATCATGTCTGAAGCAGAAACAATTATTCTCTTGTCTTTGCCAAGAGCCTGGACAAACTCCAGGAGTTGTAGGCAGCAAGGAAGTGAGAACATGCGTGTTCCAACCTGTCTCACTGCATCCATCCGATTCTGGGATTTATCAAATGTTACTTGGAGAGATAATATCAAGAGGGAGTTGGCATGTACAAAATCCAGTGTTATGTAGGACTAATAATTCATTGTTGTTCCAGATGTTGGGAATGAATGCAAGTTTTGGACCTGTGCACATCTGTAAGTTGAATTCAAAGATGGTGGCTAATTCAAGTACGGGATGAAGCAGGTGGCCTTGGTAGGAGGGGTGAGCATAAACATGTCCTTCAAGCTACATTCCCTCTGTGCTTGTTTCAACAGGGCACAATGGTGGAGGAAGTTCGAAAGATAGAAAAACAGTGCCCCTAAGTTCCATTCTTCTTTAATGTTTAGCCAACACTTGTTTTGATTGTCCAGTTGATAAAGATGACCTGAAGGAAATGTGGGCTTGTTGTCTCTTGGGGACGCTCTTCCCCCTGCTCCCCCCCCCCCAATAATCTGATCTGCCCAAACAGTAGTGGCTGCAGGTACTGTGAGTTTACACTGTAATCAGCCCTCTGTTTACCAGTGTGAATGTCCTCCACATCCCTTCCACGGAGAAAGCAAAGATGCCTCTACACTTCCAGATGAGGCCAGTTCTCTAGGAAAGAAGCTGGGTGTACTCAAGCTGATCCCAACAAGGGATGGGCCTCCACCAAGGAGACTCACTCTGACTCAGAAGCCTCTTGAAACAGGATGTGAGCAGAGCTGCAGAAGTTCAGAGAGGTCGAACCACTGGAGCTCCCTAGAGAAGAATCTTGCTGATGTGCTGGGTTAGTCTCCTCAAAATAAAGGAGGGGGGAACACCTATGATCATTGACAATTATGTGCCAGATGGCACCACGGAAGTCTTCCTTCTTCTCTCCTCTCTCTCTGCTCTCCTCTGCCCTGCCCTGCTCTAAGATATTGAGCTGTTTGAGGAAATGAAGCAAACCCCACCTCCCTCTTCAATCAAGGGCCATAATACCCAAAGCAAATCTTGGAGTGGAGAGAGAAAATGCCTTCAACTTCTCCCATTCCCTGGCAAAAATTCAACGATACTAACAAAGCGCGTTGTTGCTTTTTGATTATTTTCTGAGGCAGCCTCCTCAGTCTATCTGATGGTAGGACCTGCTTGTGTAATCCCTCTTAATTTTATTCATTTCCCCCCCCCAACCTCATGCTGTCCAAAATTGTTGGTTCCATCACCAATCAGTCCCCTAGTCGTCCAGTAGTCTGGGGTGGAAGATGGGAGGGAAGGTTGGCTGATTTGAGCTTTAAAATTTTCTGGAGGGAGGGCATTCTTCTTTTCTTAGAACTTTCTTTTAAAATTTTGCTTACAATATTCTATACATCACTGCGTATGCCGCATAATTTAATTGCAATTTAAACACAAAACCTAGTATCAAAATCTACTATGCTTCAAAACAGCATTGAAATATGCTTCACTTTGTTCTTTTGAAGCGTACAACAGTTTCCCCAAAACTTATATGCTCTTTTACATTTTTCTTCAGAACACTAAAAATCATTGCAAAACGCCACACGTGTATCGTTATTTATTCCCACCAAGCCTAACAGTGAAACTACTACTCCCAAAATGCACTTCTCCACTCCACCCCTCCCATATTTGACAAGATCGCGGTCTCAATGGGAGTTGTAGGATACGGTTTAGTTCCCGTCATCCTTTGCTGCACACGCTCACGCCTGCCATTTGCTGGCGCGTAGCTCTATGGAAGTTGCGGTTCTTCTTCTTGACGCTATTTATCACAAAGGACGAGGAAGGAACTACAGCTACCGTCATGCATCGCTCCTTCCCCAGCCGAGCTTGGAACCGTGTGATCTATCCCGGGACTTATAGCCTCTCCCCCTTTGTCTTGGGGGAGGACTACAATTCCCAGTGTGCCCCGGGCCCCCGTGCTTTGATGTCTACCCCCCTCGGTCCTTAGGAAGGGGATTCTCCCCAAGATGGCGGCTCCTGCTTCAAGGGGTTCGGGGGGTGGAGCCTGCACCCCCACCGGCTCCCTAGGTTATTGCCTGGCCCAGCTGCAGAGGGGGACCGAGCCAGGGCTGGGCAAGGCCTTGTTGGCCCTCAGGACCCAGCACATCAAGGAGACGGGAGGCATTGCCCGTTTCAGGACCCGTGGAGGGTTGGCGCCTCTCTTGGGGATCCTGTCTGGCCCCCCGCGACCGCGCCGCACTTTGGACCTGGCCCTCAGCATCCTGGGGAACTGCTGCACCGAAGGGGGCAGCCGCACCCAGGTGCGCGAACTTGGGGGGATCCCGCCGCTAGGTGAGTGCGGAAGGGGGGGCAGAGCGAGGGCACGGATGGGGAAGAGTCCCTCTGCGCCCCCCAGAAGGGCTGCAGG